GGGAGCTAGTCGGCTTCCTTTTACCGGGGGCGTGTACCTCCGGAGACTCACTCTCATCTGCTAAATATGTCAGAGTCCAGTTCATCGGAAGACAAAATCTCAAAAGTGTTTTCATTTTGAGCGGCTGATGCCAACGAAGCAGAGGTTCCATTTTGCACCTTAACCATTTCTGCAAACGTCAGCTTGGAGTGTTCTTTTATTGAACGCTTCACATTGTTGGTACGCTTCTTGTACGCGGGGCAGTCCTGCAAAGCATGAAGAGGTTCTTTGCCACAGTAAGCACATTTAGTTGCTTCCTGTTGGCAAGCACCCTCCATGTGGTCTTGGCTACATTTGCCACAACGGGGCTTGTTGTCACAAAAAGCAGCTGTGTGTCCCAACTTTTTGCAGTTGGTATAATTATATACCCTTGATACAAAAAGTCGCACCGGGAAAAAAACATTTTCAATTTCTAAAAACTTTGGGAGAACCGATCCAGCGAAAGACACCTGTAGTGAGCCTGAAGGGGAATAAGTCTTTTTACCATCTACCGTGGTCGCTGAATACAATATCCGCAACCCAGAACGTCCACGGTAGAAGTAGCAGCATTTTGAAGGCGCCCCATACCTTCCATGACGTCATCACACGTCAGGCTCACTGGTCACTGCAGAGACCACGCCGTCTATCTCCACATCTCGAGATGGGATGTAGACGTATTACTCTTCATTACAACCCTCGTCGTCAGCAATCTCATTTGCGACTTTATATGTGAGCGCAGTTATACCAACAATCAATACGAAACTAACGATTTCAAATTGGCTCAGTACTTGACTAGCCTATTGGTCCCAAGAAAATCGATTAACGTACCCCATTCAAGTCGAAATTCTAGTACTATGCAATGTTTGTTTTGATTCGCTATGAAAGTTTGACAGATAAAATGAGGGGTTATTGGTTTTCCCTATGTTTCGAGGGGTGAATCGATTAGCTTGGGACCGAAGAGAGTACCAGAGCTGAGCCAAAAAGATGACCACGTTATTTCGGAACCTTCTAGTCTTAGAGTTACCTCTATGGTTATACGCAGTTTGTTCCGATTGACCTGATGAAATTAGGTCCCCGGAAAACGACGTGTCAACGTTCTTTTAATCCCTAAGAAGTTTAGGGCTTTCTCTTTCTGCCGAAAGTAGACAACCCAAGGCGAAGCAGAAGACGCCTGGTAATGACGCTTTCTAACTTTATCATTGGGAGGCTTGACGCCCCCTGTGCATCATCCATACCAAATTTAAAACTTTCGTTAAGTAATTAATTTTTTTTTTTACTTTCTTTATTAACGAACCACCCTATGTGGAACGATTCCACTGGGGGAGAGACAGACGATTCACAAGCAAACAGTCAGAGGAATGGGTATACAAAAAACAGATAGGGTAGAGAACTACTTCAGCCTAATCGCCCATTTTGGGAGTATCGAGCAGAAAACTTCGAATAAATCCATGATTTCAGAGTCAACAAGTAAATTATGCGTTTGGTACGATACTTTAATTAATAAGCTACGAAACGAAGTCAATGAGAACGCGTGATATGAAGGTTTGCACCCATTATTCCCAAAACCAAAAGCAGCGCTCCGACCGAATCAATTTTTATCTTCATCCGATAGGCCGAAGTGAATTCATTGGCGTTTCAATGCGTTAGGCCTAGTTTAGAATCCGTAGGCCGAGTTTGGCGTCAAGAAGCAGTGTTAGACTTTTGACAATATCTCAACGATTGGTTTCTCTTTATCAAATCTTACGGTACATACGGAAAGGTAAATAAATTTGGAAGCCATCAGTAATAATAACATTCCGTTTGTTGCTAAACTGCGCTAAATTAAGCAAGACTAAGTGCGGGTTGTGCTTAATAGGCTGCAAATGGGGTAGTTAACCCTACGTGCTACTATTTGCCTTACCGTGTTTCTACTGCTTATACTGTTGCTGCGCTGCCACAATAGATGCCGGTCGTACACACCATGGTGGGTATATAAATGGTGATACAGCTTTGTCACTATATAGGCGAGGAGGTCGCGGGGGGGAAAAGTGCGGTTTTAGAGCAAATTGTAAACAAACTCGGTCGCTGTCCCATACAAAAATCCAACATGGCTGAATCATGAATTTGACACATTAGAACACCTATTTGTAGTCACCTTGGTACACACCGTCCGTGCGGTGACTCACTGCTTTCTGCTGGTTATTGTTTCCAGTTGTACACACCGTCCGTGTGTTTTGCCGTATGCCGAATTTCGGTATCGTCGAAGCGGGTTTCAAAGGTGGACAGTCCGACCGTAGGCTTCGCCAGGATCGGCTGCTTCCTCCAGAAATGCGCGAGTCACCTGAGGCACAAAAACTTTTTCCGGAAAGAAACGTTTCGGTGAAAAAACACTTTCAAAGCTATGCCGTGTGACGAGACAACAGACCCTGATGTTGCTCATTCGCTAGCAGAACGAGGAATGAAGTAACATTCTTGAAGTACCGTGAAATTATGAAAAAATCCAAGTAATCCAAATCAGTAAAATTCCAGGAATATTGCGAGGTTATAAGAGAACTTCCATGAATTTTTCTTTGAGGTTATAAGAGAACTTTCATGAAAAATATTAGTTCCGAGAACTTTTTGAAAATTTATAGAACTAAATAATAAAAGAACAAAAACTTCAGGTAAGTCCATAAAGGTTCAGGGGTGTTTGGAGATTTTAAGGGAAATTCCATGATCTTCAAGTAATTTTAGAAAATTTTTTGGAAAATTGTAGGAACATCAGGATAGATCAAATAAATCAAAGCTCGATTTAGTTCAGGAATTTCGTGGGAACTTTTGAAAAGTTCTGCGAAAATCATGGAAGTCTAGGAAACTTTATTGAAGTACGGAGATCGTTAGGGCACTTCCATCAACTTCAGTGAAGCATTGGAATCTTCAGAAAAGTATAGACATTCGGGGAAGAATGTCCTTGAGAATAAGTAATGTTGATAGGGATTTTCGATTTTAATGATAGAATGGTGATTACAGTTTTATCATTACCAACGATTATATTAAGGGGTTGAGATCCTCATCAGGGCTAGATTTAGTTTCAGATCGTAAACATTTTGCGTTGAACGAAAGATGATACAACTTCATATTCCCTGAAAAAGGCCAACTCCAAAGACTGAAACGTTGGCAACAAAACCGTCCACCGTTCACTGAAAAGCCAATACCAAAGCCAAAATAGTATTTTTAATTTTTATGATGAGCTGATTGCAGACAATTTTTTTCCCGATCGAAGTGTGCTCTGCTTCTGTAAGGACATGAAAAATGTCCGAGTGTCAAATTTTAGGCTTAATTATGTCTGTGATTGTTTTTTTCATCGCGTTTTAGCCCGGAACAATATGCCACTCGATAACATAGTTCTAAAAAAGAACTTTAGTGCAAAGAAAGTACAAGTGATCGAGTGAAATGGAATTCAAAGTATTTTTTTTTATCAGCATCCTTTTTGTCAGAGCTGTTATTAGGTGATTGGCAAGCTAGCCCGATGATTCGGATTTGAGGCAGATTGTGCAAGAGTTTCTTTGAAGATCCGATGGAATGGTTTGATGTGTTGAGCTAGAATTAAAAGATGCAACAGTCTTCCAAGTTTTTGCTTAACGGGCAAACCATCGTTCATTTGGTGAGATCTTTCTTGTTTATATATTCACCGATGTTTATGTTTCGGTTTCTACAACTTTGTCTTAGACATCATTTCGAAGAGCCGCTTTCGTGCTGTATTTTGATGAGAAATCAAATGTCGAGCGCGCTATTGTCGAAGGTTTGGATATGGCCAAGTTCCAACATAGATTTTCCAATTGATTTATTCGGCAAGAGAGTGGTCCTAGCTTTTTTTCTGGTTTTAGACGTTTGAATTACCTGAAGAATTTTTGAACTAGTTTGGAAATAACCCGGAAAAGTCTTGGAAGTGCCTTTGGTTCAACAGTAGTGCAGCAGAACAACAAGAGTACACAATTGTGAAATTGGCTGAAATCTTCCCTTTATTTTCATTTATTTGTTTATATATTTTTCAATATATTTTCATTCTACTACTCTACTGAAATCTAGTTCTCACCTGTTCGTGTTGAGCGTTGGAAATTTTTGCGAACTTTTATGAAGCACAAATAAGGAAAAGTAAGTGACAACTTGTTGCTCACGGTGAAGTGATTTCCATTTGATTTACATACATGGCAATCACCTCACCGTGAGTGACAACTAGTCACTTCACTTCGTTTTCACCGTGAAGTGACACCCGTAATAAGGGCCATTGTGAGTTTTAGCGAACTTTTCCTGTATATTGATAAGAGACCCGCATTTTCTCAAGGGAAAATAGAACTAGGGTTCCTTCCTCCATTTCCTTTCTACTACGGCCTTATATTCCATTTTTCTCTTTTCAGAAAGCGAGTAATCGCGCTATAACCATAAGCCATAGATTTGAGTTGGGCTGGACGACAAATGAAAAGTTAATAAGTAACAAGTTCTAAATTAACTATGAAAGCACTTGCCCAGAACACTGAGAATGTATGCGAAAAATCTGATATAAGTTACCTTTAAGATACTTTGGGATGAACAAACGGTCCCTTCTATCGGAATCAGAGAATCATTCTCCCGCATTTTTTGGTCCACATGCTCCTGCATACATATATACCTAATACAAACAGAACGTTTAGAAATCGATTATTCTACCTGATGGTGTTATTAATTATCGAGATTGAGCATTTATTTGCGAGAAATCGCCGAATGATGTGTTTGTTTACAAAATAAATTACGCACAAATATCAAATCACACCGGAAATGTGATTTATTCTCACCACACTGCACATTTGTACTCATGAAACCATAACATTACACATGCATGTAATCTACCCGGATAATCTCTCACACATAGCATTTTTTTACTCTTTTGATTATTCTCCATCGGTACACAACCCGAACCAACCACAACGGTCATGCTCCGCGATCCTGTGCAAACACCATCCCAACCGGCTCCGACGAAATTCTAGGAGATTTGTGAATTCCGCAAGCTGTTACATCATTTGAATGCGAAAATCTCACTGCCCGTCGCTTGCCTAACGTTGCTGAACCTGAGCTACACGTTCTCCAGCATAGCCCATCTATTCCAGGACATGAATTCCTGTCCAATTAGAGTGTTCAGCTATACCTTCGCCAACGTGCTGCTATGGCTGGTCATCTCGTTGACGCCGTTTTTCCAAGTAAGTACACCCTCTCTACCATGAACGAACGAGGCAAATGTAAAGTGCAAATGCTAACTCACAGATATATAGTTATTCAAAATAGCAATTTTCAACTGCATTCAAATTAGGGCGGTGATTACACACGGGATTTGACTTGAAAAACCAAGCGACGAACTTTCCTCAACTGTCCTTTGTAATCTTTCACGGTCGATGAGGTCAACTCAAAATAGAGTGGATTTTCACTCGAAGTCACATACACGTAGGTTTTCCTCAAAAATCCATTCGAATATGCGGAAAATCGATGTATATTTACTCAATCTAGGAGTATACTAACAAACTGAGTGAACCCTCTCTCGATTTTCCTCATAGGTATTTGAAAAGTTTGGCTGAGTCTATGAGTAACCTAAGTTTTTACGAATTTGTCCTGAATACGAAAAATCGTTATCACCGACCGTTTGACTAAGCCTTTTCTGCCTGCTAGAGGAGGAGGATGTTGACGAGTGGCTTTTGAGGTTGCTCTAAAGCCATGTTCGTATATTGCCTACAGCCATAAACGGTGTCACTGGATGCCGGTAGAATAATTCTGTTGGAGGAGCCTTTTTCAGAGGAAAAACATCACCCACAACCTTTTTTTTAACTTTTCCTCACCAACTCACACAGATGCACAAATGCAATGGAATCCACCCGATATGAGAGATTTGGCCACTGTGTCATGTGTGTTTTATGTGTTTAGCTCAAGTGCTGGAACGAGAATGCATTCGGGATTGGAATGCAGTTGATAGCGATCTAAAATAAATGTTCCTCTTGAATCCTTCGCTTGCGCCGCTTCAGATGAATATTGTTACGGAGGGTTGAACACTATAGAGGAAGCGGCGAGCGATTAGAGATTTGTATGTGCGTCTGCCCAAATTGTTGAGGATGGCTTGAGTGGATTGTATACGTTACTGGAAAACCGGATTAAGCATAAATCAAATGGGAATTGGCAGAATACGAAAATAGCACTACACTATTATACGCTAATTGGATTACGATCGGGCGGAGATTTATAGTCAAAGTCAGTGCCTTAACCGTCAGATGAATGGGGTTAGCGGTTGGGTTTTCTCGAACTTGATGTGGTTGAGTGGCTTATCGATTAAATTTGATTCGTTCTACTAATGGAAGTTCACTGAACTAGAATAGGTGGTACCCGCAAAACAAATTTCTCCAACATCCAATGTAAGGTTGAATTTATTACATTATCTGTATATGTTTCGTCCAACAAATGTAATGGCAGTTCATGCAATGGATTGCAGTGTACAAGCAAGTTTTTTTTCCAGAATGCATATTTTTGTATAAAACCTTCACGAGATGATTTTCTTGTAGCAATTTATGTGGGGGAAAAAGTAGATCGAAAAATAAGCTAACATAAAAATTACAAAATTATTTTAAGAACCTTTCGACGACCCCATTGCAGAATCTGTTCATGTCACGAAACATTGAAAATTCTACATACTTTTCATGCAAATCTGTAATAGAATCTTACATTTCCCAGTTGGGTATATTTTTTTTATTTTCACATGATTAAAAAAAAAGCATCCAAGAATAGTTTTCAAATTCACCTTCTTATAGGTTCTCTGCAGATTCCTTTAACTGTATACTAATTTAATTATTACTGTTTGCATTAACATAAATTTATAGAATATACAGCCTGTTCTAAAAATTATACAGACACATCAGAAATATTTAGATTTCTACTATTATTATTTTTTTCAAGGAACGGATGCAAATGTGATAAAATATTTTCAATAAGCTTGATAAGTCTTGGAACCTCGAACAAAAATGTGTGTTTTCAGTGTTCACTCGGCTGTCGGCAGAAGCAGACCACTCTCGATGTGTGTCACGCGATCGTCTGTTTACTTGGCAGTTACCATTGTATGGTCCTTCTCAACAGTTTCGTGATGAGTGTATGAGTGCTGACCACGTGTTGCGTCCATGACTGCAGTGAAAGCGCTCTGACCCCCGTTGGCGAATCTTCCATACATTGAAACCACTGGAAGCGGTTCCCGTTCTGGTGGAGGAGGCTTGTTGGATAGTGGAAGATAAAGTTTTTATTGTGTTGTACCTTTTGACTATAGTTTTAAGACTCATTATATAGTGAACAAGAATCCTCGGCTCTGCAAAGTTAATTCGATTGAGCCTTATCAAATAAATCAATGAACAATAAAAATATATGTGTTAAAATATTGACTAATTAACTATTAACGATAGCTTGTAAACTTGAAATATGGCTATGAATTTCGGGATTTTGATAAATTTTCTATGTGCGAAGTCTAGAGCATTGGATTAATCTTTTTTTCAAGTCCCAGAATATTGTTTTTATTTTTATTTTTTCTAAAGCTTGAAATTTGTCTCAGTTTGGGTTCTGAAACAAATGATAAAGACTAGAAATCACAGAAACAAAACTTAAATTCACTTAAAATTAATATTTTTCAATGTCAAGAACAATATATTCAGTTATATGCTTTCCACAATTGTCGCAGCAATATGTGGAAGCAGTTTAGTATGTTATTGTTTGTTTTCCGGAAGCAGATGCGAATTGGCATCAAAGTCCAGGATTCTAGATCGTATTACCTTCAAAATACCTCGCATGCTAACGACAAAATCTTATCCATAACAAATTTAAACATTTTGGAACATTTTGAAAATAACGCTTTGTGAAAAGTTCACGCGACACGATCTGGTTTATTTTTGGCTCCAAAGATTGGTACATTTTTCTACTAACTTCAACACTAAGATATATCTGAGTAGAAAGCGAGCAAGAGCAACTTTGAAGAAGGTACGAATCAGGTTGATCATCTATCTTTACCAAACTCTCCAGTTGGAGAGGGATGGTGAAAGGTATTCCCCTCCCAGTTTGGTAAAGATTTTTTTCTTTATTAACGTGATTTTTAGCCGTAGGTAAAGAGAGATGATGATACTCTCTATATACAATTTTCACACTACCGTACTCTAACGGAACTATCAACTCTGTACTTTCATCACCTCATCTATCGTGTAAAATTACCTCTCTAAATCTGGTATTTGACGTTTAGCATCTCAAACTATGTGCATCGTTAACTTCACGGCAGTTTTCGGAAAATCATTCTCAAATCTCATTTGTTGAGCCACCCTGCGTGAATAAACTCGCTTGCAATGCTGCAAACAAAATTCACGGTTGAGATAGTCACACTCACACTTACAAAGCCAAACAATCATTCCAGCTTTAAACTCATAAAAACCGCTCAAACCTGAATTGATAGCATGCATACGCATGCTGTATTGGTTTTCCAACCGTTGATGTACAAACAAAAGTAATAGCGCCGACATATAAAGAAATGAATTTTTGCACCTGAAAATCCATCGGTGATTTTTGCGACGTTGAATTTTGGAAGGCAAAACTCACAGGCGCATAAACTCATGCATGAGATTTGAGTTTTTGAGTTTTTCCTAACACTGCGCATTAGTAATACAAACAAAATAGTTAAAGTATATTGGTTTATTATTTTGAAGCTCAAAAACAATGTTATTCATGAGATAATACAATAGCCTACACACTTAGAAAATATCATGTAAATTTAGGTGCTCTGAGACTGACATGTACGAGCGTCAATTTTGACATAGAATTGAGTTATAACAAAGGCGAAATTCATCACAATCAAACGTACTTTGCGTCGAGTAACGAACTTTTCAGTTTCAGAGCACTTAATTCTACATGAAACAATTACGTCTGATCCTTTATGTCAAAGATGGATTCCGTCACGTGTAAAATTAGTTATTTCTAAGTGTGTACTTTACTTTTACTAGGTTATTAGCCCATGAGATTTCTGATATTATTTTTTATGTATTTCTTCTTATATCGATCAAACCACTAGCGAAAAGGGTTTTTTGTTTATAATTTAAAAATTTGCTATGTGTTAGTAATTTTATTCTACTTGGGTGGTAAATGCAAAGTAAAACGGTTTTTCCAATACTTGATAATAGCCAAGGTGTGAAAAGGATTGATATGGAATTTTTACCTGAATATGGACTTGTTCAGTTGGTGAACGGTCCTGTAATATATTTGTCAACATCATTGTCGTCGACAGAATCAGAATCTCGAATTACCCATCTTTACAAATATTGGGTTGAACAAGAGTGATGGAAACGATAACATTCACACCAATCGTAAAATGCGCAAACAATGAAGAGTTACATCTGTTTGTCTGTGTATAAAACATCCAGTATTACGCAGTGGCGTCGCGTTCACATGTGCAACCTGTGCACGACACAGGTGTAAATATTTATAAAAAAATGTGTTTAGATTTTTATAGATTTTATGGTCACATTATAGCTGTACTTCTGTACTCCAGACCACAAGTGACCATGAATACACTATTTTATAGTGTGGTTCAATTAAATCTTTGACCTTTGTTTGCTTCATAAAGGATTAAATTCAGTTCGGGTGGTCTGCTTAATATTTGAAGCATTGATTTCTAAGCATGTCGATATCACTACCATGACAAAACTCACTAAATAGTGCTTCTAAAAGCGAGCTTTTTTGGACGGCGGGTGACAAGTTTGCAAATGGTCAAATGCCTGATATAAGCCAAGCAGACCTTCTATCACCTCTTGAAACATACCACATATTTTCCACAATACATGGCGGATTGCACCACTAGTTGTAATTGAAACTTTCAGCAATCACGCGTCAAACGGGAGCAACACGGAAACAGCAGTCTAGTACGCTTTGGACGTTATCATACTTGCAGACCGGTTTGAATGTATGAGTTTAAATTAGAAGAACATTTTTGATGTGAGGGTACCTAAAGTCAGAGTCGATGTTATAATAAGAGTCCCGCCAAGAGTGAAGCCAGAAGTACCAATCGAACTGTCAAGTGGGGTACCAAACAAGCAAAGTAAATAAACATCATCGTTCCTACAGCCAGTGAACTACAAGTATTGCATTCATTACTGGCAATATTTTAGTAATTTTAGATGAAAAACATTTTTTCGCTTTATTT